GTGTATAGGCATAATATACTCTCAAATCAATACTATGGAATGACCTTACCATAAGTTTACTCATGTATCACATCTTTACCACTGATAGTGAATCTAATACCAGAATTCAAGGGATTTGAATAAGGTTGTAATGGGGCTCTGGCCAAGGGTAAGATAGAAAGATGAATTAAAAGGTGTAAACATTTCAAAGAAAATGCCAGAAAGTTACTGAATAAAACCAAATATCAACTTCACGTCAGTCCATATGATCAAATCTTTTCTTGCATTTTCAACAACTTAGTAAGTGAAGGGATGCTCTCGGGTTTCCTTCATTGCGGCCAAAACCAAGAATACCTAATGGCTAGTCTCCCCTCTTGAGACTGAAAAGAAAGAATAAAAGTCCATAACTATTCTTCCGTGTTTTGTCTCCTATGCTTACTAAAATTACTACTACTAAGTAAATTCAAATTATCCCAACAAACCAAATCCTATCCGAACAAGAAAAAAAAAGTCTTTGTAAAATAAAATAGCATCCCAGTAGAAATAAAATATTGTCCCCTTGGTGCGAAATCCAACTCTTCTGACTTCAACTCACAGCTGGAACTCACGAGCCAACTTCTGACCTTTCTAGGACGTACAGAGTTCTAACTTTGACGTGACCACACCGAACAACAAGTTTAGTGAAGAAATCACGCCTTTTAATTTCTTTTTATCCAAATCCCAACAATCAACGATAATTGCCAAAAATAAGTAGAATCCACCAATTGACGCAATATTTCGTAAAATGAAAGAGCAAAATAATCATAAAATTAATGACAAAAATACAACCTATCAAAACCCCGGTTCAACAATCACCAGCAATCTTTGCCAGACCACCACCAATCAAAACCTTTATTTATTTATTTTTTTGTCTTCATCTCCCAGTCAACACTCATAACTCACAAACTCACAAATGAAAATTTTGGCAAGTTGTTCTCATGCTTTTTCTTTGCTAAAAATTCGCACTTGGAGCTACAACCTAAAAAATTAAAAAACAATCCCCAAAAACCAAATGTGAAATTCCATCCTTCATTGTGATTAAATTTTCAATTTAATGCAATATACTCCACCTATGGCCACTACCCATCAGTAATCACTTTTGCTTCTACAAGGAGAAGGTAGCAGTTAATCAGGGTGAGGGGCAAGTTGACTATGATGGAGAGGGAGAAAGGGAGGTAGTGTATTGGGGAGAAGTGGCAGGGGGTAAGGACGCCATGGAAGAGAGAGAAGTAAGAGGAAAAGAGGGCTACTAGAGTTTTAGGTTAGGGGGAGGAAGGAAAGTTTTCTGTTGGTACAGAGCGGAGAGAAGTGGTGGAGGCAAGAGAGAAAGGGAAGGAAAAGAGAGTGGTCGTGATAGAAGAAAGATGAGAAGTGGGTAAAAATTTGTGATGTTAAAAAAATTATTTAACAAAACCTATTTTGGAATCAAATATGGGAATTGCCAAAACCTCCCAACTTACTTGGAATTTGAGAGTTGTCAAATTTTAATAAATGATCCCAAAATTCTAAATCCCATACCTATTATTCAAGCAGCAAGAAAGGACATGATCCAAATATTCTTATACCTTCCAACCAAGTGCCCCCTTATGTTTCATAAAACGCAGTGAAATGTTAGGTTTAGGTAGATATCTTAATTGATCATCTATTACATGCTAAATGGGAACTATGTTATGATCTATCTAATGAACATGTTCTCCTTTTTTAGATCCATTCATCTTCGAAGATGTACTTTGATGGTGTTACTTATCATCATGGAGTTAGTGTTGGAGTTAAATTCATAATACCTAATGGAGAAGTTTTGCCATAATTCTTTATCCTAAGCTAATGCTACTCAAATAATGTTGTATACCAAGCTTTCATACATGAACTTCAAATAGCTAGTGATATCAAACAACTTGAGCTTCAAGTCAATTATGACTTAAGTTGGTCGTTAACAACCTCTTAGTAAGCTACGAGGTTAAAAAGCCCGAATTATTTCTATACCATATTTATGCAACGCCACTCATTGAGTGGCTTGGAAAATCATTTAAATATCGATAACTTTGAAAACAAACCAATTTAAGAGTGCATTTCCACAATGATATCAATCTACCTATTATTGAAATCAATACTAGATACTAGGGATGGCAATTGGCGGCACCCGTCCCACGAGGGCTAATGGGGCGGGGGTTGGGACGGGGGCTGGGGCTGGGGGAAATTTTCAAAACAAGGCAGGCGGCGGGAGAGTATACCCCCGCCCCGCCACCCGCTAAAAAAATAAATATAGAAATATATATATGTATATAATTATATATCTAATATTTAATTTAATTAGTTACAAACTTATGATAATGATATTATTAGTTATATGTATTATATAGTGTATATTAGTATTTGTAACATAATTGATATTATCAATTATACTAATAATTATATATGTCTACTAATAGAAATTATTAATTAGTTAAACTAAATTTACTAATACATTTATACTAAATTCCTAATTACACTTAATACAATAACTTTTTTTTCTCAAAAAAAAGCACAAGCACAATAATGAATTAGTGATTGTATTTGTGCCAAAAGTAAAAACTTGACCACTTTAGTTGTATTTATTTCATCATATTGGATTGTATTCAAATAACTTTTGTTTGATTATTTTTATGAGTTTCAATTGTGAAATTACAATAAATATTAACTTGATGATGTGTTGATATTTTAATACTTGATTATTTGCTAATATTTAACTATAGTAAATTTTTATTAGCCCCGCAGGTGCCCCCACTGGGAAAGTGGGACGGGGCAGAGAATGGGGTAGAGTCGGGGGGAATTAGTAGGCAGCGGGGCGGGGTCCCCCGCACTAACCCCGCCTCGTTGCCATCCCTACTAGATGCAATAGGAATCATTTCTGCAAAGTTGTAAAACTTAAATATATGAATGACAAACATCAAAATGCAAATCCATCGAAGTTCAACGAGAAAACCTACAAGAATAACTTTTTGTTACATGTAACAATTAATGTATATGAATGAAGCATGTGATTACTTAGTATCGAATTATTAAAAAATGGGTGACTGTAATTACACACTATTTATGTTAAACTTGCATTACTAATCAATATTACTAAAAGGATTAATTTTTCCTACACTGATATTGTATACACGGTTAGCCTTGGATGAATGACAAATGTGCAAAATTTGAATTTGAAATTCAACTTTTGCACACATATCATGAATCAAACGGTGATAGTATATACACTATCAGTGTATATAATATTTACTTTTATTAAAGAGCTTGTTAGTGTTACCCGCAAGTATATATGCGTAAATCCATACCACCGCGTCTTATCAAACACCAATTCATAGTTATCCTTGTAGCTTACTAAATTAGAGATGATAACGAATATAGTATCCTCTAAAGAATATCAACTAATGTTTTACCGTTCGTTTAAACAAGTGTCCTACTAAACCTTAAATAGGTAGTGCTGTGGATTTAAATCCCAAACAACCCTTGAATTAACCATCTGGTACCTTATACTAAAACTTGTCAAATCCTTGTTGAAACCAAAATACATGCATCTGAATAGTTTAAAAGATCTTGAAACTAAGGCCTTGTTTGGCAGACAAGTTTTTGCCAAGTTTATTTGCTACAAGTTTTTTAATTACAGTAACCTCAAAAAACTTTTCAAAGTTTTTAAACTATACACTTCAAAATATTCAAAAAAAAAAACACACTTCAAAAATTTTTTTAAAAACTTCTACAGTAAGTTATAATAAAGTTTTAAACAAACATTCAAAAAACTCACTTGCCAAACGGGGCCTAAGTTTTGTTAAAATTGAAATTTTAATGTACAAAAATAAAAACACTCCATCAGAACAAAAACACAAACTATAATTATGTTCCAACAATCTAGCCACATGCAACCTTGAACAAAAGTAATGCTTCAAGGATGGCGCTCTAAATGGTTAAAATGAAATAAGACCAACAAAATGATACAAGAATCTATTAAAACTCGACATGTATATTTTTTCCTCTACCCGAGGTCATGAAGTCATCAACATCCGAACCTACAAATCAGAAAATATTGAACATGTAGTCAAAAGAGCAAAATATATCCTCTGTTGACTACGCAAATTAACAAAGGAAAAAAAAAAAAAAGGAAGGAAAACTATCGGCATATCAAGCCCATTACAATATGTTACTATGGCTGTTCACACTAGGGAAAAATCGAATAACCGATCGATCCAATTCAGGTCGGAAATCGGATATTGGTAAAACGTAATTCCGAAAAAACTATTAAAATCCAATCTTAAAATTTGATAAAAAATAGTTTGGGAATGGATATTGAAATTCAATTCCTGAATTCCCGATTATCGACTGAATTACCAAATTTCATCTATAAATTAAATATTTTAGGGACTGTCTATTTTAGGTGTCATAATTTTGGAAATATAAGATTAATTAGAAAAAGTAAATAAATACAAGAAAGTGTAGATAAGATTAAATAGGAAAAATATATAAATGTAAGGGAAGATAATAATTGTTAGAAGATATACGATAAGATTAATAATTGTTATATATACGGTAGGCTAGATGAATATTAGATGTATTAACGAATGTCCTATAGTTATCCGTTAGAAAAATCTAATATTTTATATATTTCATCCTTACTAATATATCATATTGCATATTAATGTATTAGTCAATAGTGTCATGAGTTATAATTTATGCTTATAAACAAACATGTGACATTAAAAGCGTATTAATTAACATATTAATAACTTTTATATTTTTAACTACATATTAAATATACTAAACTAATTCATATTAGAAAATCAATCCAAAACTTTTGGACGGTAACTAGATATTGATCTTCTTAAAAAAAATGAAAAATTTTTTTTTAAATTTTTTACCGAATTACCGATTGCCGACCGATTAATGGCCCTGTCTACCAGTACAGTGTACACACTAAACACTCAAAAACTGCCCGTTTAAACATCTCTAACAAAAACGACTGGGCCTTGCGAAGCACTCGGCGGGCGAACCATACAATGGCTGTTTGCCTTCGGTACTTGCGAACTCAACATCAAACACTTGGTAGGCATTACTTTCATTTCAACTATTCCACCAAAAATCCCACAAACAAAGCCGTCCCCCTGCTCTGGGACTACAGGGAATCCGGTTCCACGGCTCAGGAAGGAGTCACAGTCCAATTACATTCATGGGGTCGCGGCGCCTCCGGCCAACTCGGTGGCGGAATTGAAGAAATACGAATATATCCAGCTGCAGTTGCGTCCCTTTTGCTGCCACCTTCATTTACTCTGTCTTCCCCCATCCCAGGTCGCCTTTCGGTGTCGGAATCATCAGCTGAGAATGAGAATGATGTTGTTAAAGTAGGTATTTCTTGTGGGCTTTTTCATTCGGCATTGCTGGTTAATGGGCAGCTGTGGATATGGGGCAAAGGTGATGGTGGCCGCCTTGGCCTTGGCCACGAGGAACCCGTATTTGTTCCTACTTTGAACAGTCATTTGGGGTCCAATTTGGTTAAATGTGTTGCTCTCGGTGGCGTGCATTCGGTTGTTCTCAATTCTCTTGGGCAAGTTTTTACTTGGTCAGTAGTCTTTTTTCTTTATAATCAGTTGACAAGATATTGGTGGTTGGATTCATTGGTGTTGTTATTGTTCAATTGTTTATGTACAAAAAAATTATTAGGGGGTGTTAAATTGATAGAACATAGAAACTGGCATCCACAGTTTTTGGGCATATTGGTCTTCTATATTGTGCATAGTATTGATGCACTTGCTCATGTCATAAAAAGAAAAAAGGAAAAAAGAATGCCACAACGGTTTCAATTTTCCTGTTTTCCATTTCAGTGAAGTAAAAGTTCTCTGGTTGGTCTTTGATTTGTGTAAATGCGAATTGGAAACTTTGATGATTAACATCAAATGTTTCTAAAGCAAGGTAATAATAAAGGGAAGAAAGTAGAGCAAATAGAAAAGTTAGTATTTGATACTGAATGGTGAACTAAAAGTCTTAAACGTGGCCTTTTGATATGTCAAACGTACCATCAAATGGTTAAAACAATGACCATTTCAGTTAGATTTTGTCCCATTCAATCTCTAATTTTCACTCGTTCAATCTAGTTGTAGTATAGTAATTGAACTCGTGTAAATGTTTGCATTTCCGTCATTGTTGCATATGGTCTCTGGTGAATCTCTGATTTGTGTCAGCTGATTATGTTTTGTTTTAAAATGGAAGTTTGCAGGGGCTATGGTGGCTTTGGTGCTCTTGGACATTCTGTTTATCACAGGGAGCTGCTCCCTAGGTTAGTTGAAGGTCCTTGGACTGGAGAAATATATCATATTGCAACAAGCGGGACACATACAGCTGCTATAACAAAATCAGGTTAAATGTCTGACAATGTGTGCATAATCCAGTCTGGTTGATTCCAAAGCTAATTAGAGTTCGTTATGATTTTATTTCCTGTTACAGGCTTTCTTTTAGGGGCTTAATATAGGTAAATTGGTTATTAGAATTTCCTGAAGCTTTTATGATTCCTGAATTTCATCGTGAACATTGTACAGTGAATTTGATGGCTTTTACGTCCAAGATTCTTAATGTGTCGGTGATTAGTTAGAAATGCATCTTTTAAAGAACCAATGACACATCTAGTTTCTTGTACTGACTACATTTCAGAAGTTCATAATGGATTTATGCTGGATATACTTTAACTGGACTATGTCATTCTGAATCTGCAAAAGGATACGATATCTTCAAATAGTCCATAACATATCATTAAACTCTAATTCTTCCATGACATATTGATTATAGCAACTTAAATATCACATTTTCAACTTATGTTCTGGTGCTCCCTAGCCTCATCCAAAGCGCAGTAGAGATCCTCAAGAAAACTTTAGGGATTGTTTTAGCATTTTGACAGGCTTTGGGACGCACATATCAGGATAAGCAAGATAAGATAGAAAATGCTGGAAAAAAATCAACAGGTTGCTCGAATTCCAGTAAAAGAACTTTCTTTATAATAGTTTGGTGCTCTCATCTAGGTCAAACAAATAGGTGTCAGAGCGTCTGAATCTATTTGTAGCATGCTTTTTAGGTCTATGTTCCTTAATTACATTCCTAATATAAATCCAAGCAGGTGAGCTGTATATCTGGGGTCGAGATGAGGGGGATGGTCGACTGGGCCTTGGCCCTGGTCGTGGCCCGAATGAAGCAGGTGGCCTAAGTATACCCTCTAAAGTAAGAGCACTTCCCATGCCTGTAGCTGCTGTTTCATGTGGTGGTTTTTTCACGATGGCATTGTCAAAGGAGGGCCGACTTTGGAACTGGGGAGGTAATAATTCAACCACCTCTATTTTTCTCCATTTCATGCACATAACTAAATGCATCAATACTTGTTAATATTAATCGGTATTAAAACGTATTTTTGATTCATCAGACAGAGATTGTGGATTGTATATCTAAACTGAAGGCTAAATTTGAGCTCATTGCAGAAATTACACTTGTCTAAAGAGCCAAAGAGAAGTGTTTAAGTCAATGTTGATGTATATTTTGGCTTGTGCAGCTTTTATTTGTATTTATGATCGAATTTTAAAGGACATAGAAGGTAATTTTCATGTCAAATATGTAAAACATGCTATTCAATAATCAATGGCTCAGATTGTGGAAATTTCGGAATGTACTTATGTATTATACTGAAGCAATAACAGAAACATTATTTCTCCTATTATCGAGAGCTAGGAAAGATAAATGTCATCTGATATTAGTTTAGGGGATTGTAGGCCTTCTTTAACTTGCAAAGGAAGTTGTATATGTCTCTAAAGTTACTTTTGGAGTTGTTTGCAATTATGAAGAGGTGATGCTAAGGAACACTCTCTGTAGAAAAATGTCTGAAGTTTTTTGGACACTTCAGATTGCAAATCCAGCAGTATTGGTTATCTGGTAGAAGGTTTAGCTGGTGCTATTGTTGACTCCACTTTGTTTTACAAGGCGGTTTACAAGTTTATTTGGCTGTCAATGTAGGAACAATATGTTTGACCTGCACTGTCAGTGAAGTAAACCTGTAGCATATACGAAAGAACCATTTGGAAATGCTAAAGTCCTCTAATACCCAGTGGCCCCTTTTTTTTAAACCAGTACTATTGCAGTGCAATACTTATTCTGCATTTGTTACTAGCTTCATATCCTCTTTCATTTCCACACTTACAGTTCTATTCAGCTAGTTTGCTAGTTCTACAGCTCCTTTTCAGCAACCTTCAGATATATGTGGGTTTTATAGTGGCATTCGAGTGAAAATAATTTCTGGGTTATTGCACTCGCATTGTACTTGAAGTTTTGGTCCAAGAAAAATCTAGTAAAGCATGTATTTTTTGTGTGAATTCCACGTGGTTGTAAATATTTTTAAGGAGGCATATGTAGGTTGTTCAAAAGTTTTTCTGTCTGACGGTGAAGATTTGGGGTTCGCAAATTACCAAATCTGGGGAAGCGAAAAAATCCACCAGCTAATCCACCAGCTTATGACCTTTGTGTATCCTCTGCTGACCTCTTTGCCACCTCCAGTTCATATATGGTCAGGTATAATAATTGTCGTTCCAAGTTTTCTGTCAGAATCTTGAGTGTTTGTTCCTATCTGTTTTAGAAGGGACTGATTATTGTAATTGTTGGAGAATATATTGTATCAAAGAAAATGGAAATGTTAAGGAATTTCTTTTGACATTTTACAGTTCCTCCTGAGGACCAACAAACTGGTCTTTTCTGCAAGCATGGAGTGCATATCAAGTTTTAGCTATATTGATCTTGCTTGACAATGTAAAGTTAGCACAAGCTGTTAATGCAAGAATCCTCATATCTTTGTTTCTCAGCAAATTCGAATTATGAGCTTGGACGAGGTGATAAGCTTGGTGGTTGGAAACCGCAACCGGTTCCTAGTCTCAAAGATGTTCGTATAGTCCAGATAGCAAGTGGTGGATATCATTCCATTGCTTTGACTGGTATGGTTATGAGAATCCCTAGGTTCTTATGCACACATATGCAAGAATCTTACTGCTGATTAACAATTTCAGATAAAGGAGAAGTATTTACATGGGGTCATGGTGGGCATGGTCAGTTGGGTCATTCTAATATTCAAAACCAGAAAGTTCCTTTGCGCGTTGAGGCGTTAGCTAATGAGAAGGTGACCTATGTTGCTTGTGGGAGCTCATCATCAGCAGCTATAACTGGTAATATTCAGCATTTGCAATTTAAGCATGTGTAGTCGTTGTCTTAAGATTTTTCATTTTCTGTTGCCTTGCAACTGTTCCTCAGCACATCGCTTCTCCCTTTTACTGTCTTCTCCTCTTACAATCAGAGTTGGCCTCTTCTTCTACCGGCTGCTTTTTCTCTCTCTGTGGTTGCGTAAGGAGATTTTGTTCAAGGTGGTAAATGCTAGTCTGGTCCTTTATATTTTGGATTAAATAGGAGCATAAATTATTTCAAATTTCACCCCTGCTAAACTTGTGAGGATTTTCTGTCCGTGGTGCTACTACCATGATGGGTTTATGTGCTTATTTCCTGCCTTGGTAGCTCGATATCAATAGGTGCTACCTGAAAATTCCAGAGCAAGGAGTAGTGTTATGAAGACAGCAGAAGTGGATGGAAGAGGACCGAAGCTAACATGCTTTTCTTTCTTTTTCTAATTTCTTCTGAGGAATGATAAGTGTGAAGAATACAGTCGAGTACAAGCTTACTCCTTTATTACCATAAAACAGTGATGAGTATGGTTAGCTTTTTATTGTCTTCTCATGGGAATGTTTATGCTAAAATCTATTTGTTACTGCACAGATGAAGGCAAGTTGTACATGTGGGGAAATGCCAAGGATTGTCAACTAGGGATTCCTGGACTTCCAGAGGTGCAACCGTCTCCTGTTGAAGTTAAATTTCTCACCGAGGATGATGGGTCAATGATTGACAAGGTACTTTCTGTTGCGATCGGTGCTTCGCATGCCATGTGTCTGGTTACAAGGTCAAATAGCTGAAGATCAATATCCTCTCCAGCATGCTTCAAGCTCTTTCATATGTCAGAAAGCTCGAAGAGGAATTGCTTGAAAATTACTAGGAATTCATTCGTAGGAAGCATCAATTGCATTCTCTGGGGTGAAGCAAGTATCATCCAAATATGCCTAGTGCTAACTCTACTTTGGGATAGTCGCAGAAGATGCATGCATATTATGAGAATGCTTTCTGCCTCTGTTAAGCTAACTTTAGCCTGTCAGACTACATACAGAGGAGCTACTGGAATTGCCACGACACTTTGAAAACAGTTACAGCAATTTTGGTCCTCTTTTAGTCTTTAGATCTTTAGTGAAGCTATGAAGACGTTTGGGAAGATTTGAATTTCCTAATGTTGTGTGTAAAGTTTTGGGCAGAAGTGGGATTTACCAGTGTACGCTAATACTTGAATGAAGTTGCACGCTTCCATTATCTGGAAAATTGATTCTTGAAATTATAGATTGCTGATGCTGCAAAATAGGACCAGTTTTGCCTGAGTTAAGAGCTCTGCTCCGTCTCTCCCCAAGAGATTTAAGAAGCACCGAAGAGAAGGGGGATTTCAACTCAAAACGTGACGAGTTTTAGAATCTCAACCTTAACTACTAAATCAAGCGTTCTTGACGTTGCGTGCCGTGCCTGTCATATTAAGGATGCTTTGATTTGCATGATGCATGTGGTGGCAATTTTGTCAGAAGGAATCCGTTACATATATGAATATTGATCTTTTATTTCATATTAAAGAGACTATTTTTAATTGATATTCCCAAATTATGAACTCCTTTTAAGCATTGACTTCAAATTAAAGTCGCGAACATCAACTTAGTTGGGACGGAGAAAATTAAGAACAAAAACAACAGCCCAACGCCTAATCATCTATCAGTTAACAAACCAACGACCATAATCAATTCTCTCCCTTTCACGTTCTTTTCAGTTTCATCTAATTATTTGGTCCTTCACTTCTTGATATATTCTTCCCTCCAATGAGGTTTCTGTACTTCTTTTCTTATCTCCTAAGCAAGCAGCCCACTAAGGAAAAATCAAATCAAAAGATGGAGACACATAACGCTTTTGCTTCTGTGAAGTTTCAAAATAATCAAGGTTTAAATGTGGTTTGCTAATTACTAAATATGTCATCGACAGTAAAGGATATTGACCAGAATGGAGGTTGGTTGGGAAGAAAGTTTGGTAATCAATAGCAAGAGTTAAGGAGGCTGAGAAGCAAGAAGAGAGGAGAGGCGAAGACTTTAAAGTCCGTCACCAATTCTCCTACTCCACTCATTCTTTCATATTTTTTTTTTGGTTTCTTTAGATGTATAGTTATTTGAGCCTTTAACCTTTAAAATTTTTGATATTATTTTTTTATTTAACCCAATCCATGTCAATTGTAGTGTACTCCTAATTTCATGGAGAGAGAAACAAAGAACATACATTTGATTATTGTTTTATTTTAATTTTTGTAAGGACCATCTATTCTTGTTTAAATAAAATGGGAACCTGTTAATTCCTTGTTAAAAACTGGCTCATTATATGATTGACTCAGTTGTCTACCTTCAAGAGATGGGCTTTTATAATTTGGGAATATCAATGAAAATGATAATAGTATTTAAATATAATTGAAATTATCCGTATTTATATAAAAAAAAAACTGAGAAAACCATAGTCAAAGTCTTACTGAACTCAGTAATAGGATTTTTGGTGGTTACGCTAATTTATTTTTGTAAGTGCCCGGTGCAACCCAATGAGTACAAACAATTTCACAATGATGCACAAAGATATATCAAATTTAAGCACAATAAAGAAAACTTAATGAAAGAGAAAAGATAAGAAATGCAAACCAAATATCAATCCAATAGCCTCTTCAATAGATGGCGATGCTAACCAAGATGTACAAGTGAAGGCTCACTCCTTCCTCACCCCAAACACACTTTGGTTGAGCCAAGGAGTTTTACAACTATTCTAGTTAACCCTCAACAACCTACACTTGAAAGATCACTCACCCAAATAAGAACTATTTTATACAAATGAGGCAACCTTCACCAAGGTTTTACCACTCCAAGTGATAGGTTCACCTTCACCAAGGTTTTACTCCTCCTAGAGAGTAACCTTCACTTCAGCAACCTCACAACCCAACTTTCCCAACCCCTTATACAACCAACAAAGAATCTTTCTATTCAAAAATCTCACTTGTAAGCTTGTATTTTGTGTTGGCAAAAGTTCCTTGTCTTCTTGTGCTTTGGGGTATTTATAGAAGGTGAGAAATGGCTTCAAAAGTCTCTCTAACGGTCAAATATTAAATGCTGTCAAAACTAGCCGTTGGCCTGTCGGACGTCCGAACCACCTGTCGAACGTCCGAACCCTGCGTCCAAACCACCTGTCGGACGTCCGAACCCTGCGTCCGAACGTTGACAGAGAGTCATCAAATCTTTGCGAAATTTCTCGGACGTCCGATGCAATCGATGTGCGTCCGAGGCGTGCGTCCGATCCTTCCGGACGTCCGATGCTTCCTCACGAGCGTCCGACAGAGTTTCCTTCTTGATGTTCTTCATCCTTTCGGACGTCCGATAGCGTCCGACATGAGTGCCCTGTTTTTGCTTCTTCTTTTATGCCACAATAATCTGTTCTAACAAATTACTCACATAAAAACATTAACCCAAATCTACATATTGGTTTGTTAATCATCAAAACCAAGGATTGATCGACCAAGGTCAACAATTTTGGGTAGCCAATATGAAAGTAACAGATATTTGACAAAATATAGGGAAAATCGTTCAAAACATCTCTCACATTTTGCAAAATGACTTTTTTCGTGCCTCACTTTTTAAAGTATAATTTTATATCCCTTACAAATTCACATTAGTCAAATTTGGTTCCTATTTAGGTTTTCAACTAGTTTTTGGTTGGAATCCATTACGTGCCTTGCACGAGATCATTTTTTAAGGACAAATTTATCAAATCAAATTTTATACAATTCAATCTATAGCCCCTTATATTTCACAAAATGCATTTTTTTGTCCCTCATATTTCACAAAATGAATTTTTTCATCCTTCATATTTTACAAAATAAATTTTTTCATCCCTTATTGATCATGTGTATGAATAATTTTTTTTAAACTCATGTATGTGTCTATTTGATTTTACCTGAACAATACGAGTAGCATGCATATAACTACAATTAGCCTATTTAGACGAAATCAAATAGACATATATTACATACTGTTCATACACATGGTTAATGAGGGATGAAAAATTCATTTTATGAAAATATGAGGAATGGAAAAAATTCATTTTATAAAATGTGAGGAACTATGGATCGGATTATATAAAATTTGATTTGATAATTTTATCCCTAAACAATAATCACGTGCAAGGCACGTGGTGGATTGTGGCAAAAAACTAGCCAGAAACCTAAATATGGACCAAATTTGATAAATGTGAATTTATATGGGACGTAAAATTATACTTTTAAAACATAGGAATGAAAAAAGTTATCTTACAAAATTTGAGAAACGTTTTGAATGATTTTTCCTAAATCATATTTGGGCGAACACTTTGCTAGACAAGATTTTGGACCTCTATGAAATTTTTGATACAAATCGGATCCATGTGAACTGTATGCGACAAAAATGCAGATTTCATAGGCGGAGTTCACATGGGGCTTCCATGTTTGAGAGACATAGTACACGTTCATAGGCATGTGGGGAAACAACCACAACCATTCATAGGTCGCCAAATTTTGGTCACCATTAATGCAAAAAATTTGAATGTAAGGCTAATGCACGTCACATAATCTCGACAGAAGTGACATGTACAAGTAAACTACAGCAACTTACCACCCGTTCGGTGCAAAGTACGAAATGGCAATGGTGATGGGTACCAAAATTCCTCAATCACAATGGGTTTTGGTAACTCCTTTTAGGTTGTTTGGGGTAATTTCCATCAGGAATCGGTTTTGGGGTGTATTTTTGTTTTTCTTTTTCCTCGATCAATCTCCTTCTTCCTTTCTCTATATTTGTTTTCATAGCAAACTCCCTCTTTCAGAACTACTGTCCAATTCCACCTCTACTTCTAATGGCCAAATCCGCCACCAATTAAGGCATCTCTAGCCCTTCTCAAATTATGATCAAACTGCAGATTAGCATATTAAAACAATTCCTCCATTGGGAAGAGTAGGAACTAGGGGTACAAACGAGTCGAGTAAAATCAAATTTGACCTAATCGATTTGAATCTCAACTTAGTTTTGTGAAACTCGAACTCGAGTTTGAATTAGACGAGCTCTCAATGCAAACCTCGAACTCAAACTTAAAAAATAAAATAATAATTATTTTATTTTTTAAAAATAAATAAAATAAGAATTTTTCTTAACAAATAATAAAATATTAGGAATATGGATTAATCTTTCCTATACTGTCAGCGTTGAATGAATGACAAATAGGCAAAATTTGAATTTAAAATTCAATTTTTGTACATATATTATAGATCTAATAGTGATAGTGTATACATTGTCAATATATATAAAATTTATTCTAGGAATACATGTAATTTTACTATTAAAATAAAAAAGTAAAAAATATATATATACATATATAATCGAGTCGACTTGCAAGTTAACGAGTTGAGTATTTTTGAACTCGAGTTCAAGTCGAGTTTGGACTTGCGAGTGGTTCAATTCGTTTACAACCTTAGTAGGAACTAAATTAATATAACATAAAATAACCCATAGAGCATGAGCCAAGCTTATAAAAATAAACACCAATTGCACCGAAGTTGAAACATGTACCAGAATATATTTAGGCCCTAAACTAAACCCACGATGACCGCCATTATAAAATCTTCGTTGCTATGTTGTTGTGCTGTTACACATAGTAAGTCGAAGGGGCCATGGAGAAGGGACATTTTATGAGAATTTCTGGAGTGAAGGGCCGAAAAGAGAAGGGGATATTGATAAGGGAAGGTGCCAAAGAGAAGGGGAAATCGACGAGAACATCATGACATTGACGAGGACATCCTGACGGTGAAGAGAATGGATATATCAATGGAGAAACTTGGAAAAGATCTGCTGTTTTACTTTTTTTTCTTTTTATTTTAAGTTTGCACCTCAAATTGGTTAATGGGCTTGAAAGTGCCCAATTTGGTCATAATGACCGTCGCCAATTTTTAGGTTTTTGATAGTGATTGATGCAAAATCATACAACTCAGCCAAACACGATGTGTGGATACGAATACCAACCATACCCATTGAGGGGTGTCAAAACCCATTAGCCAAATGGGTGGTTTCATTCTTACTATGAGACTAGTTCCTAACCCATTATGAGACTAGTTCTTAATATGAAACTATTATGAATTAATTTCAATACATATTTGTTTGTGCCTATGAGAGAAATTATTGTGAAAATAACAAAGAATGCCATATGTTAAGTGGATTTTTATCGAGAAATAATGA